GAGTGATAATCCTGACAGTGACCACAATGCAGGTTGAGTGATAATCCTGACGGTGACCACAATGCAGGTTGAGTGATTATTCAAGGAATTTTATTCAGGAAAACCTTTAAAGAAATGTTTTAAGTGGAAGCAATGAGCAAAGTCATATCACAAAAAGCGGAACAATTTAGGAAGACATTCAGCTGCGATAAAACTTCATTAATATATTTGATTTCCAAAGGATCTAAAATATAATTGTTAAAAAGAATTCATGCTAATTAGGGATTTATAATAACTAGGACCAAAATTTTTTTTATGTTCACAAGAAATTTATAACAATTCACTAATACCAACATTTTGCTCATGTTAACAATGGACGTACAATAATTCATCCCCACTGAAACCAAAATTGTGTTCATGGGTCAGGCTTTTCTTAAGAAAGCCCATATTAATGAGGTTTCAGTTATTTTTCAAAATGTCAGTGACTGATAACACCTGTTTTAAGTCAACACTCAGTCACCGGGACCCTTTTGTACTTGTTTCCTCAGATCAAATATAGAAAAGCAGGTATCAACAGCAAACTAGAGATTTTCAAGTCCAGGCCATGTAGTGTTGGTCAGTATGGATGGCCACAGCTGACCGTCCAGTGTACTGAAATAATTTCCAATCAAGTTACCACACTATCACTCAGCATAAAACATGTCCTAGCCCATGAGAATGGTACAACTCCCATTACTTTGGACCACACACACTAGAACACAGTAAGTGTAGGACCAGGTCCACAAGGGGCATAGAGAAGACATATCCTCATACCAACTATTTGGCATCAAACTGACTGTCAACTGGCATGTTCTACAGACTATTTTATTCTACACTACAACTGAATGATGGGCTATAACAGGATTGGTGGGACTCTCCTGTTTCAGACTCTTGTATAGACTGTCTTGTTCTACAGTATATCTTGCTCTAAAAATGTGTCTTGTTCTAACAACAATCTTGCTCTACAGACTCTTACCCTTTACACCAGGGCCATTCAACTAAGTTTACACAGGGGTCAAAATGTTAGAGAATAGGGACCGTCGCTGGCCAGAGGCCTGAACCAACAAAGAAAGATCATCAATAACATATAATCGACAGGTGATCCATGGGCCACATGCTAGGCCTCTTCTGGCCAGAGGGCCGCCAGGTGAATAGTCCTGCTATACATTGTCTCTTGTTAATCTTACTCTGGTGTCCCAGCATTCCTAGGCGAGCTGGAAATGTTACTGTCCATTAACTAAAAATATCCATTGGCAAAGAAATTAAATGGTTAAAAAACAAAAATAACTAGTCTAAACTCCATAATATTTACCCTAGGTGTACAGGTAAGAAGAACAATTCAAAATGCCAGAATTTATTCCATATGGTTTGATCTTTTTTTTTCTGCAAAATGGCCGTCTGTCTGCCTTTCTTAGTTTTGCACAAAGCACTAACTTTATATTCACAGAGTAAACAGTGTGGTCCAAAACTGAATGGGACTTTTGGAGCATGAAGCAAACAGATCGGCCACGTTGCTTGAGTGTTACAGATGAGGTACGGCAAATGAGTGATACAGATTATGCTAAAACTGAAGTAGCATCACCATGTGAAATTTTCTAGCAGAAACTGAACCCACGACCTTTAGAGCACAAGGCTATTTATTTTAATCACTTGGCCATGGAGAGTGTTTCAAAATTAAGGTACTGCAGCTCAACTTGCAATTATTACAGATGCAAAGCTAAAAGTGAAGTGTGGTAACTATTTGCAACTTCTGTTTACTCAAACTATGCACCTTCTGTTGTGCACATACATGTGTCAACATCAGTTTAGTGTCCCAGTTTATAGTTCCCTTGTCACATGTAACTAGACAAGAAGAAAAATACAGCAGACTGACTGTGTCTGTTCAAAACAGATGATCATTCCATCATCTTTCCTCTTTGACAGTCCATGCCATGTGGTGGTAGTAATCAAGTCCCTGCAATGTTTTGGTCACGATTTGTGAAGAGATTCTGTGAAAGTAATTCAGCTGCTGTGTATGGTCTTGGTATGCTGTCCATGTTACACATGCATAAAGCAGTATCTATAGGAAGACTGCTCATGAACATTTACATTTATCTGTAGAGATACATTTTGTAAATTTTAATTTTTGTATATTTTGTTTTGTTAGCTGGTTTTCATCTTTCCAGATGATAGTGTTATGATGTGTTGGAGGCATGGGAATCACATCTCCATGGCGATGGCAAGTGTGACTAGCAAGGCCCGCTCGCGTTAAGAATCGTCTTCCACAATTAGAGCATGGAATTTCAGGACCATTGTTACCATCGCATGTATTTAGCATGCTCCTTTTTCAGACTAGCTTAAAATCTGCTGAAGATGGTGTTACATTTGTAGGATTCTGACTTTGACTGCATCACTGATGGTGACACTCTTGAAAGAGTGGCTGCTCATACACGTAAACTTTGATTTGGCCCATTACCTGTACAGCTGTATTGTCATGAGTCAACCTTACCACACACTGAGAGATAAAGACAAACATTGACTAGACTGACTCATAACAGCAGACAGGTCAATTACTGGTCAGACGGGTTGTGTGTAGAGCCGCACGGCGAAACAGGTAACTGAGTGGGGAGGTTACAGGGGGACTGGACAAACAGGTAGAGTGACACACGGCAGTTAGTAGTTGGACAGTCCAGTGAACGGATGTGTTTGTTTGGGGCCCTTTCAAAAGGTGGGAATTGTTTTTCGCTTGGAATGGACTGGATTTAAAATTGTGAACAGAACAGTAGTGGTTATTCATACTGGTGACAAGTGTTTTCTGTTGTATAGCCGGATTATAAAGTTAAGTGTAGTAGTTAGGAGGATACGTAATTATTGCTATAGAGGCATCAGCTAGCCTCTCATGACTTTGTTCATATTGCGAGGATGAGTTTGTGATCAGCTATACCAGCGTACTGTTGATGTATTTAGCCAGTGACTACCTGAGATTAGTGTGCTTATGAACCATACGAATAAAACCTGTGGCTACTCAGTAGTCGATAACGTTGTGCGGAAGCCATACTAACTTTGCAGTTATCATGAGTTCTTAAATAAACATACTAACTTTGCAGTTATCAAGAGTTTCTTAAATAAACATTATTTAAGAACTGGAACAAGGTCATCAGCGTTTACATGTTCATGGAAGTGTGGGTACACCGGGCACAAATAACAATTGTACTTGTGTCACACCTATAAAAGGTGTCTGGTCACCTTGCATGTATCATGTCATTACCATTTTCTATCTATACTAGTATAAATCCTGGATTTATGAAGGTCCTAACACATTTCTGATGCTAACCCATGTATAGTGTTTTTTTGGAGCTGACTAATATTAAACTAGTTTTCCCTCGCAATAACTTAACTGATTGCTTAAAGAGTATTCTACATTACCAGTTCTAATGGATTCTGAAAACCAACAAGTGAAATGGTTTAAATATATGGAAACATATCAAGAGTGTTCTAACACATAAAAACCCCAAAGAAGTATACTGCTATAATAAACATTTAATTTTTGTTTGCAATAATAGCTAGAGGTAGTGTACAAATTTGTTTATATTAAAATCTATTCACTAGATCTAGTTAAAAGTATGTTACAAACATTAAAAATTGTTACACTAAAAATAGCACACTAGACAAGTCCAGTCCGTATATTTTTAAGCTGAAAAACCAGTTAATCATCCATTCCTCACCCCTTCCCCCCCCCCCCCTACCCCCTGCTAATGTACTAGATAACTATGTTCATAGAGAATAAAGTATACATTAATTCACTTCTCTCTTAAAGAAGACTACATATCAGTCCACTTCTCTTAGAGAACACACTAGATATCAGTCCACTTCTCTCTTAAAGAGAACACACTAGATATCAGTCCACTTCTCTCTTAAAGAGAACACACTAGATATCAGTCCACTTCTCTCTTAAAACACACTAGATATCAGTCCACTTCTCTCAGAGAGAACACACTAGATATCAGTCCACTTCTCTCAGAGAGAACACACTAGATATCAGTCCACTTCTCTCAGAGAGAACACACTAGATATCAGTCCACTTCTCTCAGAGAGAACACACTAGATATCAGTCCACTTCTCTCTTAGAGAGAACACACCAGATATCAGTCCACTTCTCTCTAGAGAGAACACATCAGATATCAGTCCACTTCTCTCAGAGAGAACACATCAGATATCAGTCCACTTCTCTCAGAGAGAACACACTAGATATCAGTCCACTTCTCTCTTAGAGAGAACACATCAGATATCAGTCCACTTCTCTTATAGAAAATACTAAATACCAGCTAATTTCTCTTATTAATACCCTAGACAGCAGTTCACTTTTTGTTTGTTAAGGAAGCTTGTTAGATAAAAGTCCACTTTTCCTTCACAGAATGCACCAGATACCAGCTAGATAATCACTAGATATCAGGCACTTCTCATTTAAACAATGTGTAAGAGTTAGTTTATTTGTCAGCAACACACTATCAGCTGAATCAACCTATCTTTTGGCTGAGTCTACTTTTCTTTCAGTAAAAACCCTAGTTCCGTCCAGCTCTCTCTCATCGAGTCGAGCCCACTTCAGTGTATAGAAATAATATTCCAAAACATCAAGTTCTGGGGAGCATGCACAATGTAAAAACTGATCAAATGACGTACATCTTAGTGTAATAACATTTGATCAAATACAATTGTAAAAGTATTAACAAAACATTCTCAGCAACCTCATAAACACAATCTTCAACAGCATCATACACAAACCAGCAAATTAAAATACACAAAACAAGCTACAATTAAAAAAAGTAACAAGGATTTACAATGGGATATGTACAATGAATGCGTGGGGATAGTGTCCTATAAGTCAACCATGACGTATATAAATATAAACCACACTTCAGCAGTCAGGGACTGGCAAACCACATTCATGGTGTGTGACAACAATGTCTACAATTGTACAGTTATAGATATACCTTCAGCTGCCATTACTCCCAGTGAGCGCCCGGCTTCTTACGCTCCAGTAAGTAAGTCTTCATTACACCCTTCCCCTTGACCGCAATCTCATCCCTGTATGAGAACTCAAACATCTCACTCAGAAGGTCAGCGGTGGCTTGGGGAACCTGGATCCTGTTATCTTCGCCAGTGGAGTACATGCGGCTGGCAATGTTCACAGCGTCACCCCAGATGTCGTAGAGCAGCTTGGTTGTGCCAATGACACCGGCTGTCACTGGCCCGTAGTTGTACCCAATGTTGAGGACGAAGTTGAAGTTGAATATGCTCTCATTGAAGCGGGCAACCACCACCTGGAGCTCCATTGCAAACTCCATAAGAGCAAATAGGTGGGCGTATGGATGTTTATTCTTGGCCCGGCTCTCCTCATTCAGTCCAGATGCTGCCATAAAGGTAGAACTAATGGTTTTAATCTTCTCCACATCTTTAAACCGAGGCTCACTTAACATCACCTCGTAGTCACTGACCAGCTCATTCAGCACTCGGAGATACTCACGACCACCGGCGTACATCTCATCATAGAATTCGTTAAAATTGACAATTGTAGCAAAGATAACACCTACATCTTGATGGTTACGTGAGTAACTCCGATTGGTTTTGAAGAGCTCTGCCAGATGGGCAGGTATGATGTTATGCAACAGCCAATCAGCTTGATCCTTGTTCAACTGCATGTTTTGTTTATCCAACTGGGCTTTGACACTTGCGTTGAAGCTGAGACGGTATGAATTCTCAAACTCATAGTTGAGGATGGAGACCAGGAGCAGCAGCAACACTGTGCTCAGAATAATCTCAAAGCGAAGTGGATTTTGTCCAGAGAACAGATGATCTGACATGAGACTATTATTAACTGAAGGTACAGCACTTGTCAGGTTGTAGCTGACGTTAAACAGGGATCCCACTGAAGGCTGTGGTGAGGTCTCAAAGTCGCTACCAGTGAATGAGCAAAGATTTACAAACAGCAAAATTATCAGGACGGACCCAACCAGAATTGCCATAATGGTTTTAGCAAAAGAGCGGAGCATGCTGTAGTTGCAGTACTGCAGCAGAGCAACAACGATGCAGAAGCAGAAGAAGCGGTCATGCCAGCTGGAACTGGCCACAAGGTCGCAGGAGAAACTGATGTATACCAGCAGTGACGGAATGGTTGCCGCAATGACACCTAAGGCATTTCTGAAGTACCAGTTGAGGGTGATATTCAAAAGCATGACGCATTTTACCTTCTTGCCCTGAAAAAGAAATGAGACAGCATGTCATATTGACTCTAAAATAACTAAAATGAACTGAAGGAACCAATAACAACCCACTATATGGACATTATGTGACAATGCTGCAGAACTTATTCCTAGCCCTGTGTTAAATCAAGCTGTAAAACAATGCAACTACGATAAGAGGCCTGTGACACTAAATAAACCAAATAAATGACATGATTCATTGTTTACAGAAACTAAATAAATGAAATGATTCACTGTGTACAGAAACTAAATGACAATTCACTGTTTACATGAATTAAATGACATGATTCACTGTTTACATAAACAAAATAACATGAGTCACTGTTTACATAAACTAAATGACACGAGTCACTGTTTAACTAAATTATATTAACTGTTTACTAAAACTAAACGACATGACTGTTTACCTAAATGTCATGATTCACTGTTTACATTAACTAATTGTCATGATTTTTTTTTTCACAGGGACTAAATGACATGATTCGCTGTTTTCATGTATTTAATTACATGATTCACTGTTTACTGAAAGAAAAAAAAAATGACAAGATTTACGGTTTACTGAAATTAAATGGCTATGATGAACTGTTTACTTAAACTGAATGACTATTCACTGTTTACTAAAACTAAATGACATTATTCAGTCTACTGAAACATGGAGCATAAACATAAAGGCAGATCAAGACAGACAGAAGAAAGCTAGAGAGTGAAGTTTAAGAGAAAAGAAAGGGGGCGGGGGCAGGGGGGGGGGGGGGAGGACATAAAAGTGAGCTGCAAGCAATAGCAAGAGATTGGACAAGTTGGTGGGAGTTGGACAAAAAGGGCCTGTGCTCTATTGGGGAATGTTGAATGTTGAACTAAGAGTCAACAGTCTAGCACTCATGACACCCCCATAAGCGCTCCATCCCTATCTCCAGCAGCAAACAGAGAGTTCCAGTTATGATGGCACCAGTAACTGATTGTATATCCATCTCACCCTTCCTTTGAGTGTTCATCAGATGCCCTGGTAACTCCTTGCAGAGCCATTCTCCTCAGACCGTAATGGTCTATTTGCTCTTCCACACTGTTCACTCACTCCCAGAGGGCCCTTACAACGTCTAGCTTGCCATACATCAATTCACCACCAAGTGGTGCAGAACCAGACAGTCTACATGCCTGCTCATTCCCCATCACACTAGCATCACCTGAAGAAAATATCCAAAGGATACTAACTATCTGGGACCTCTGAAGAGGCCACTCTGCACAGAGCATACCTGTCTCCACCTTTCTGAATATGCTCTGTGAGTGACAATGACAACATGTGTACAGCCGATTCTCAAGCCAGTGGAAGGCAGCAGTGACTGCCTCCACCTCCATTTTCAAACTAGATGTGATATCATATGCCAGTGCCATAAATGGGGGAATAAAGGGCAGAAGAAGCTGGTTAACTCACATTGGTTCCCAGAGTTATCAGAGGCATCAACAACATGAAGCTGTGTCAGTATTTTTTAAAGCAAAATTTCATCTTGATCTGTCAGAAAACATCAGGAGGCCGGTAGCCTTAATGAAAGCTATCGTGCAACCCATATCCTCTTGTGTACCATTTAGCTTTGTCTTTATTGTGGTTCGAACAGGCCAGATTGCGTCTCTGTTAGCATATCTCACAATGTAAAAGTAAAATCATAAACAGTGGGAGGGTACCAGCTCTTCATCATCTTCGGATTCTTCTGGATGTTTTGTCTTGTTCCAGGGCTTAATGGTTGCATGCACATCTGTTTTACAGATTTGGTTTACATGTATGCAGACAGTTCCTTGCCTCTAAGGCACTTCAGTTTTGATGACAACACCTCTAATTGGTTGACTTTACTTTCCAGAAGTTAACCCATCAACAAATGCTTCATGAAGTTTGATGCACCGGCCAAAAAAATGTAAATATGGCAGCTCTGCTGTATACAGGAACAACATAAGTCACGAACAAAAAGTTAACATTCACAACATGACTGCTGGGCAGTTGGGCAGGGAGCAGAAGGGGGTAGTGAGTCTACTCTTCCTCCTCCCTTCCATAAAAGGGTCTCCAGGACCCGCACAGAATTCTTGCATTCAAAATATTAGAGTTCCTAGAAACTGTTATTCCATCAGAACACTGTTTTCACAGTCACTCTCTCTGATTGCCACTTGGTCTTATACATCACTGCTCACTGTGGCAGACTAGTTAGTTGACAGATTATCCTCACTGCACACTGGATTAAGTCCATAAGCGCTCTGATCCCATCTTCAGTATATCCCTCAGCGTGTGGCAACTGATGACACCAGTACTGTGTGTTGGCTTACTATTTTTCTTTGGCTATCTGTATAATGTTCATGATTGGCAACACCTTTTGACATGAAGTTCTTGTCTTTTGGGTGTTGCCGATTCAACATGGTCTCCTAAAACATCTTCTCATCCTGCCTCATTGGAAGTGTTGAGAATGCTGGTCCCGTCCATCCCTTTTCCTCTGCCTATTGTGGCCCTACCAGCGAGCCAAGCCAATCCGCTCATTCATTCTCTATTACCCCAGAGTGACAGACACAATGCCTTTCAGCAGCTTAGACATTTCACCTGGCAATTTTCTAATAAAATAAATCTACTGCTGCTGGTACCTGCCACTTTTAAGTAAGACCTCCATAATCAGTGAGTCCTCCAAAAGTGTCTCCACCTTGCCTGGGAGCTTCATTTCTAAACTGACACAAGAGCTGAGTTGGTGGTAGGGTAAGCTACCAGCAGAGCCTCCTAAGCTAGACAGGTCAACGGTCAGAGAACAGACTAAGAAGCAGCCCATACTCCAGGTTAAAGCCTAGTGAGTCTTTCCCCACCCCCCCCCCCCCCCCCCCCCCCCTTGTTCCCTTGTAAAAAGATATGCTGAGCAGTTGGAGCTTAGCTAGGGGACACAAAGCTACTCATTGAGTAGAGAAAGAATTGAGAAAAACAGCAATATTTAAAAAAGGAAAAAAATGGTACAATAGATAAATGTGTTGTTTCAGAGACCCTGGGAAACAGCCAGTCACATAGCTGACATGGTCTCAGACTAAAAGTTAATGGGAGACAAAATATACAAAACGGAAGGATAATAAAAGAACCTTTCGAACACTGGAGGAAAAGCCAATCATACATTATGCACTGTTTAAGACTAAATAAAGTATTGAAGTATGGTAAAATTTTGAATGGAAACACATAGAATACTACCTCCAAGCACAAGACATTGGTTAAGGCATCCAAGAAGATCAATGTCTGCAACAGCAGGCCGGCCACAGTGGCGATAATTAGGCCGGGGGTGCAGACAAAGTGAAACATAATGTGACAACAGATAGCCATGATCAGCAGGGCGGCCAGAGCGATGACAGCTTCTGCAGCCATTTGGTACCGTGGGGAGGACAGCATGCTCTCTTGGAACAGGTGGCTGCGGAATAGATGTTTGTAGAAGAGGCTGATTACAGGAGGGCAGCTGGGTTCTATGTTGAGCTTCTCGTGCAAGTATCATTTTATGATGTGCTGACTGTTTTTATACAAGCATATTTTTGGTTTCAAAAGTAGTCGGTTTGCTTATATATATTATACCAGTAAAAAAAATATTTTTTTTTTTAAACAAAGCAACTGCTGACCACACAATTATATTAGAACTATTGTTTGGATTTTAAGAGTTATTTAGGACTATATAAATAGTTAATTTTGTATTATTTCAAGAAAGTTTTTATTATTTCAAGAAAGAAAACAACAACTGCTGGCTGACATACTAGAACTAACAGTTTTCTTAAATCATTTGGTTACCCCTTATTAGACTAGAAAGGGGGTATGGTGGTTTAAAAGCAACTGGACTACCTAGTTATTGTACAAACTTGTTTTTCATTTGTATGTGCATTATTCAAAGCAATATAAGGCTACTCAATTTCAATAGAATAAATCATCTGTATTATTGTTATTTCCAATCAGGCAATAACTGCTGAAAGAGGTTTCAAGAAACAGGTTTTAGCACTTGCAAAACCATGAGGTTTCGCTTTATGGCAAACCCCCAAATGGGAAAATAACCATTAAGCTTTAATTATATGCATTACTTTCAAAAAGAGTAATTATCCTCTGTATGGATGTGATCAGTGAGAAAACATCATCATCACAAACCACTTCTGCTGTAACGCGTCATGGGGAGGAATAATTTGTGATCCAGTGCACGTTGGCTGCCACTGGCTACTGCCACTTTCTTAAATATCTTCAGCCAAATGTAAAAAGAATACAAATACATAAGATTTTAAACATTTTTCAAAAACTGCTTTCATTTCCAGTCTCATTACAAAGTACTTCAAATTTTATTTGACCCCATCTAGTCGGCTTCGATATTTCGTAGTGAATTCCTTGGGGCTTACCTGCAGAGTACAATATTATAGGAGGTTATGGCTAGTATTAAATGAATAGCAACTAATCCTAACCATAGACCCCTATACTATGGGACGTTCTATGGATTTCCCTACCAAACAAAATTGAAGGACCCCTTAAGATGTTTCCAGAGATTCTAAGGAGACTGTAAATAAAAGGTTTTGAAAAATAATTTAAAAGATAATGTGCTTGTAGGCTTTTTACATTTGCTTTAAAATGTATTTGAATGTTTCCAGTCCAGTCAGTGTCCAGTCACACCTCGTTCTAAACACTTGAGCACATACTAAAGAACTGACCCCACAGAAACAAAACTAGCCAAAAAATACATGGCCAGAGGAAAGCGGGCCTCGAGGACAAACTGTGGGAAACCCCTTGAGACTTGCTGCTTAAATGCCAGATAGAGGCATCATAAGTAATGACCTAAGTATATGAAAATTTTTTCTGCCATTAAATACAACTATTTCTGTATATCCAGATCCTGAGGGCTTCAATTCAATTTTCTAACTCTTGGCTAACTGTCCAGTTTTTTGCGCTACATGGCAAAGCTAAACAGACAACTGACAATTCTGATTTTTTTATGTTTTGTTTTTAGCGCTCTAACAGTTTTTGAATGTAACGTTTTATCTCATTTTTTTCTCAGTTTGCTGTTTGGGCCATGCTCTTATAAGCACACTGGCAGGTCTATAAAATAATGCAGAAAAAAAAAAAGCAAATGTCTTTGATATGTCACTTTAGATATGATGGTAAATATGCCTTTGTTAAATCAGCACATCACAAACTGATAAATATCTGTAAACATGACCACACAAACATAAATATAGGTAAAGGTGGTCCTGTAGTGTGAAAACTTTACATATTCTAGGCCACTACATAAGTGATACAGTGGTCAGTTCAAACACTGATCTCTACTATTTATCAGCCACAAACACTTCTATATTCCCTGTATCAGCCACAAACACTTCTATATTCCCTGTATCAGCCACAAACACCTCTATATTCCCTGTATCAGCCACAAACACTTCTATATTCCCTGTATCAGCCACAAACACTTCTATATTCCCTGTATCAGCCACAAACACTTCTATATTCCCTGTATCAGCCACAAACACTTCTATATTCCCTGTATCAGCCACAAACACCCCTATATTCCCTGTATCAGCCACAAACACCTCTTATTCCCTGTATCAGGTAATTAAAAAAAACAACACTATTCCCTGTAGCAGCCACAAACCACTATATTCCCTGTAGCAGCCACAAACCACTATATTCCTTGTAGCAGCCACAAATATCACTATATTTCCTGTATCAGCCACAAACACCCCTATATTCCCTGTATCAGCCACAAACACTTCTATATTCCCTGTATCAGCCACAAACACCTCTATATTCCCTGTATCAGCCACAAACACTTCTATATTCCCTGTATCAGCCACAAACACTTCTATATTCCCTGTATCAGCCACAAACACTTCTATATTCCCTGTATCAGCCACAAACACTTCTATATTCCCTGTATCAGCCACAAACACCCCTTATTCCCTGTATCAGCCACAAACACCTCTTATTCCCTGTATCAGGTAATTAAAAAAAACAACACTATTCCCTGTAGCAGCCACAAACCACTATATTCCTTGTAGCAGCCACAAATATCACTATATTTCCTGTATCAGCCACAAACACCCCTATATTCCCTGTATCAGCCACAAACACTTCTATATTCCCTGTATCAGCCACAAACACCTCTATATTCCCTGTATCAGCCACAAACACCTCTTATTCCCTGTATCAGGTAATTAAAAAACAAAAACACTATTCCCTGTAGCAGCCACAAACCACTATATTCCTTGTAGCAGCCACAAATATCACTATATTTCCTGTATCAGCCACAAACACCCCTATATTCCCTTATCAGGTAATTTAAAAAAAAAAAAAACACTATTCCCTGTAGCAGCCACAAACATCACTGTATTCCCTGTTATCAGCCACAAACACCTCTAAATTCCCTGTATCAGCCACAAACACCTCTAAATTCCCTGTTATCAGCCACAAACACCTCTAAATTCCCTGTATCAGCCACAAACACCTCTAAATTCCCTGTATCAGCCACAAACACCTCTAAATTCCCTTATCAGCCACAAACACTATATTCCCTTATCAGCAACAAACTTCTATATTTCTCACATAAGCTTCAAAGACTTCTATATTCACTGTATCCATCACAAACACCTATATTCCGAACACTCCCCCATACTCCCTGCTTCTTTCAAACACTCCCCTATACACCCTGCTTCTTTCAAACACTTCCCCATACTCCCTGCTTCTTTCAAACACTTCCCCATACCCCCTGCTTCTTCCAAGCACTTCCCCGTACTCCATGCATCTTCCAAGCACTCCCCCATACTCCATGCATCTTCCAAGCACTCCCCCATACTCCATGCATCTTCCAAGCACTAACTCATACTCCAAGCATCTTCCAAGCACTCCCCCATACTCCATGCATCTTTCAAATGGCACCCTGTATTTATTAAACTACCATATTCCATGCATCTTTCAAACACTCTCCCATATTCCATGCATCTTTCAAACACTCTCCTATACTACACCCTGTATTTATTAAACTACCATATTCCATGCATCTTTCAAACACTCTCCCATATTCCATGCATCTTTCCAACACTCTCCCATATTCCATGCATCTTTCAAACACTTTCCGATATTCCATGCATCTTTCAAATACTCTCCCATATTCATTCCTATTCCTTGCATCTTTCAAACACTCTCATATTTTATGCATGTTTCAAATACTCTCCCATATTCTATGCATCTTTCAAATACTCTCTCATATTCCATGCATCTTTCAAACACTCTCCCGCATATGCCCACCTCACCTGTCTTTGTACTCATGCCTGTACATTCTCTCTAGATTTGGTTCAAAGGTCAGACAAAGCTTGTTCAGGCTAGCTTTGAAGAAAGACTTGTTGTTCTCATTCTCCCTGGCTATAAGCTGAAATAAACGGATCAGAAAACTGGCAATCAGCTGAAAGCAACCAATGTCCTCTTCCTTTCATCTTTAAATGACATCCTTCAGCACCATACAGTTGTTACTTCGGCACTTTCAATAGTGTAGTTAGTCTACTTTACAGCGGAGTTGTTACTTCAGCACTTTCTACAAAGTCTACAGTTGAGTTGTTACTTCAGTACTTTCTACAACACACTTTTATTTATAGTGGAATTGTTACTTTGGTACTTTCTACAGTGCAGTTAGTCTACTTTATAGTGGAGTTGTTACTTCAGCACTATCTACAACGCACTTTTATTTATAGTGGAATTGTTACTTCAGCACTTTCTACAGTGTAGTTAGTCTACTTTACAGTGGAGTTGTTACTTCAGTACTTTCTACAGTGCAGTTAATCTTCTTTATAGTGGAGTTGTTACTTCGGTACTTTCTACAGTGCAGCAGTTAGTCTACTTTATAGTGGAGTTGTTACTTCAGCACTTTCTACAGTGCAGTTAATCTACTTTATAGTGGAGTTGTTACTTCAGCACTTTCTACAGTGCAGTTAATCTACTTTATAGTGGAGTTGTTACTTCAGCACTTTCTACAGTGCAGTTAATCTACTTTATAGTGGAGTTGTTACTTCAGCACTTTCTACAGTGCAGTTTGTCTACTTTATAGTGGAGTTGTTACTTCAGCACTTTATACAGTGCAGTTTGTCTACTTTATAGTGGAGTTGTTACTTCAGCACTTTCTACAGTGCAGTTAATCTGCTTTATAGTGGAGTTGTTACTTCAGTACTTTCTACAGGGCAGTTTGTCTACTTTATAGTGGAGTTGTTACTTCAGCACTTTCTACAGTGCAGTTTGTCTACTTTATAGTGGAGTTGTTACTTCAGCACTTTCTACAGTGCAGTTAATCTACTTTATAGTGGAGTTGTTACTTCAGCACTTTCTACAGTGTAGTTTGTCTACTTTAGGGTAAAGGTTTTTTAGCACTTTCTACAGCAGTTTACTCAGCCTTATCCGTCTACTGGGCTCCATCTCTCCTAAAGGTCTTGGTCCTAACTGCCAAAACAGTTTTATCTAACAAATTTCAG